ACACAACATCGCAGATTTCCTGTATCAGACCCCCAGATACCAATAACTTCACATTACCGTCTACATTAGTCTATCAGACACTACTCCACCACTACCATCATACAACGTCGTATGCAACCTATCCTACCAACAACCATGTCTTCACCCGCAACCCAATACGTCTACGTCCCCAACCTCGTTGGCGGACAGATGCTCAGGATTCCCATCGAGGACGTCGAAGCCGAGGGCCAAATCTCCATTGCCCAACAGCCCATCGCGAGCCCAACCCTCTCTTCACGATACGTCCGCGACTCGTCACCATCGCCAAGCATGGAGAGCGTCGACGACACCGACGAGTAATAAACTCATACATCAAGGCGACGCACGAAAGACGAAGAAATGACGGCAAGCCTTGCACTGGTCTGCAGTCCAGCAAGGCGGAACTAGCTAGCAGCGGACGTCGTTGCCAAGCAGCCTAGTCGCAGCCTCGAGTCCCCCACGAGTCAAACTCAGGGAGGACTGACATCATCGCTCCCCTATACCCTCACTGCAATCGCAACCTTTCTTCCGAAATGACGACAGTCGGTGCCGTTGGTGCCGAGATGCCACCGGAGAAAACTTTCACATTGCGTGGAGTTGGCGTGTGGGGAAAACGGCAAGCAAGGAGAGGATCTTTGGCTTGGCTGGAGTTGGAAGGAAGCTTGGGGAGGTGCCGATCGGAGATGGATAGGGCAGGCAGGCACGCGTTGGCTTGGCGTGGGGATTGGGATGGATCGATCGGTAGTCTAGGTTACTTAATGTCTATTAACTAATTTTTTTGTGGTACTTTTGGTCACTTGATCTTTTCTATGCTGCATGAGGTTGTGAATTGTGAATTGCGGTGTGCGTGCGTATGCTCTGCATGCATTGACTTTGGGACAGTAAAAGCAAGTAGAAATGATAATCTGCTTCTTGCATAACTGTTATTTCCGGTGTGCATGTGAGACGTGTCGTGTATTATGTGCATCACGATGACGGGGAAGAGTAGTGGTGGTGCCGAGCCAGCAGATGACAATACGTTGACAGCATCCAAGGACACCTTTCTACACCATTCTCAATGAGGTTTTAATGTACCCTGGGGGATGTTCACAAAACCTGCAATCAACGTAGGTTGAAAACAAGTAGTGCACTCATCCAGAACGAGCTTTTGGCTGAACTAAGACAACTTGGAAGAACAAGTGCTTCCTTTTACACGGCCACCAGCGCTTCCATACACGTTAACCAAGGAAAAAACTGAACAGTCCTGCAGCCTACATTAACATGAAAACCTACAAGATAGGTGACCTGGTGTCGATGTATGCTCTAGGCCCGTTCAGAATCTTTCTGGTATGAGGTGCATGCATAGTCACATGACAGATCATCTCCCTGTGTTCGTCTCCACTCCCCATGTTTATCATTCGTGAGTGACGTGTTCATCAGCCGTAAGCTCAATCCAAAACTCCAAATCATCCGTTGTCGTGGACCTTGCTGGCATCGTGACTCTACCTACCCATACACCTTCCTTGTCTCTCCAGAGGCCTTTCATCTCCTGATACACACGAAACACTTCGTGTTGAATCGCCTGTTGTTTCTTTCCCATATCTGCGGATGTGATGGCGGTATTGTCGCAAGGTCGGCGAATGTACTGATTCATGTCCAGGTCTGCCCGAGGTGCGTCTCCCCAATCGCCCTTTTCCGGGTCTGGGAAAGCCAGGTCGCGTATGGATACCTTGAAGTAGATGGTTAGTTGTGTGAGATACTGATGGTACCGCGGCGCGGGAAAGAAGATACCGCCTTGCATGGCTAGTGGGTCGCGGAAGAATCTGGGTGATATAGAAGACGTAATGTGAGGTAATTGGATACTCGCTGTCGATACTGACTGTGCTATGACGCTTTTACGAATGTAACACTGGAACGAATTCTTTGCGTAGAAGAAGCTAGCAGCTTCGTCGTGAAGTTGCGTGCATGTTCTCAGTAATGCAATGCCCGTAATTTTCGTATGTATCATAGGAGATAGTACGATGCAGTCTCGGGGGTTCAGCAGATGGGCGTAAATGCAGTTGCGCAACTCCGGTGGAATGCTAAGCAAGCTGTGTTTCTGAAGATCGACAGGGACACTCCTAGAAACAGTGCGCGATCGTCGTGCCGACTCCGTACTGTGATCTTTATTCGAACAACGGTGCGTTCTTTTACTGATCTGCCCGGTGAGCTGTAATGGTGTCGGCTGGGCGACTGTAGTTGGGCGTACAAGACCGAGTGCTGACGAAGCTTGGTTTCCCATAGCCGTAGATCTGTAGATCAAACTTAGTACGGACACAGAGTAAGAGAGTCGCGTGGATCGCTTCTTCTCTCGCACTTGGAAAGGGCATATGGGTGTCGCCTTCCCGGAGACCCTACGTATGCGCTGGAGGCAGTCATCAGGGAAGCATTCCAAGTCGGTGCGTTGGATGCATTGTTGATAGCCAAAGGGAATTATATTAGCTAACTGGAATCTTTCCAGTTCCCTAAGGATTTGAAGCATTCGCTTCTCGGTCTTGTCCGTTGCGACGACGAATTCGCTGTGTGAGCTGTACTTCCGACGCTCGACAAAGAAGCCGCGAGGTCACACCCCATAGCTTTGCATTGATTATCGAGGACTTTTCTTGTGCCATTGGATCTTCAGAGGATGTAAATGATATATAAGCCATCAGCATCAATATAACAAAGAGGGTGAGAATGTGAAGGGTTAGAGGCTGCTGGCCGGTTGAGCGACCCAGACAACCTTGGAACGCACGGACGGCTCACCAAGACACTCGTCTCGTCATTATGGACGAACTTTAGTCCGTCAACTCCCTGACATCACAACCTACAGCGCTGGCAGAGCACTTGCGATACAATGGTACTATCATGAGCATTCTCGTTTCTCTCGGGCGCCGCGAGCGCAGGACTAATTAGGTGACGACGAATGGCCGTCGCGTCATTGCCTCCCTAAACCAACTGTCGTCTACGTGCGTGTCATCGCACAGCAAGACGATATCTTGCTGTCATTCGTGTCATCATCAAAGACGGAGGCATCCCCTTGACACGCAAACCGAACGAAGCCGACACTCACCTCGGGATGTGGGCCACGTAGCGTTCACACCACCCGACGTGGAGATCAGGTTGCTCGGGACAATGCGACCCATACGGATAGTGACTGACCAAGTATTCGCAGCTCGGGTTAATTCTTCTAGAAGACCTAACGCACTATCATGCATCCACAAGATGGCGCCAAGTCTGGGGTCAAGTCCGGGGTGGAATCTGGGGTAAACACCTCATCAGTTGTACAGCCATCAACGGCTCTAGGTCTTGAAGGGGCTTGAGGCTCGCCAGGCCTGATTATATTATCATCTTGGCTCTTAACCTTAGGTAGCTAGGTCGACCGGCTCCACATCTTACTCTCGACTTCCAACGTCGCCATGACCCGAGGTCGTGGTGCATATTGTGCTGGACAGAGAGGTCAACAATGGGTGTACTGATGAGCTATAAAGACCAGTAACAACATGCTTAACAGAGTCGATCCTCAGCCAGGAACGCAGACACCACGACATCAACCATGATTGCCTTCAACACCATCATCGCATTCCTCCTCTCTTTCTCATCTTTCACCACCGGCAGTCCAACAGGGCGCCAGGAACCCACCTATCTCAACTGGAAGACCTTCAAAGCCAACGGCATCAACCTTGGTGGATGGCTTGCCCAAGAAGCCGTTATTGACCCAGCCTGGTGGTCGCAGAACTGCGGTACCACGACTGATGAGTGGACCTGCTGTGCCAAACTGGGATCGCAATGTGGCCCTGTACTAGAGCGTCGCTATGCTACGTTCATCACACCCGCCGATATCGACAAGCTGGCCACTGCCGGTGTGAACGTCTTGAGGATCCCCACAACCTACGCTGCATGGGTCAAGGTTCCTGGCAGTAACTTCTACAGCGGCGGCCAAACTCGGTTCTTCAAGAATATCGCATCTTACGCAATCGCAAAGTACGGCATGCACATCATCCTCGATATTCACTCGCTTCCAGGTGGAGTGAACGGTATGGGCTTTGGTGAAGGCGAAGGCCGCTTCGGTTGGTTCAATAACGCCACAAACCTCGACTATTCCCTACGCGCTGTCGACGCTGCACTGGCTTTCATTCAATCCTCTGGAACTCCACAATCATACACTTTAGAGCCGATCAACGAACCCGTGGACAATCGCGACATCACAACCTTCGGCACACCAGCCGCGTTGACAGACAACGGTGTCGCATGGGTACAGAGGTACATTGACGCGGCTATTACCAAAACAGCAGCCGTGAACAAGAACATACCCGTAATGTTCCAAGGCAGCTTCAGAGGTGAAGCGTTCTGGTCTCCCAAGTTCCCAGCGTCCACCAACCTTGTTTTCGACGTACACAACTACTATTTCGCTGGCCGCCCAACAGACTCTGATACCGTGAGCGCAGACATCTGCTCAGATGCCAAGGCATCGGCAGGAGATGGCAAGTTTCCTGTGTTCATCGGTGAATGGTCGATTGAGACGGTGGCGGACAACAAATTTGCAAATCGTCAGAAGAACTTGAACACCGGGCTGTACGCCTTTGCAAAGTATACTAGGGGTAGCGCTTACTGGACTGCGAAATTCTTTGGGAATGTGCCTGTTGCTGGCGAGGGGGTACAAGGAGACTATTGGAACTACTCGGCTTTTATCGATATGGGTATCGTTAAGCCTGGTGAAGGCGCAAAGTATTGCTCCTGAAGGTTTACATACGTAGATCAGCCCAGATATGACCTCATGTAGCAAAGAGACTACACTGAATCGTGTGGACGTAGTTATGTTCGACAGCTGGCTATATGAAGAATACATTCTCTCCTCATTCTTCCCTCCGATAATTCCCATACCTACCAGCAACCTAAATATATCAACATTAACGGCGTAGGATCCAACACAGCCGCAATGTAACAGACCGCCTTCCATAATTCGCTCAGCTTTCCATCAAGTCTCAATACCCTCCCCCTGTCCAAGCATTAGCATACCTGCTCACCACCAACACACAAATAGGACATGATACACTTACAAATCATCACATCAACCAACCTAGGTTTAACCTCCTCGACATCCTGATCAAGCAACACCTCCCACAGCTCCACCACGCTTTCCGCCGTCATCATGAACCAGCCAAAATACGGCCGTGGGCCCTGACCTCTTCTTCTTGGATGATGATCCGCAGCAACGTAGTCCACCTCGACACACTTAAGCCATCGCCGCTTGGTACTAGAGGACTTGCTGTGGCCGTGGTGTTGATAGTGATATCTCTGCACACTCTGCGTGGTTGCAACGTCGCTTGTGTTGTTGTCAACGGGTACGTTCGTTGTCTCATTCTCTTCCGGTAGAAAGCAAGGATCCATCAAAACGTCCGCGTCAGCGACAAGGAAGACACGCTCGCTTTTGTAGAAGTTCGGTGAGGGCACAGAATCTTCTGGTGGATTGACATACGTCTGGCGAAGCTGGTCGATAGTAAGACCATCGTACAGAGAAGCATCGGAACGGAAGTCTAGACGTAGGAGGGAGCGTAGGAGTTGAGATGTTGTCGGTGGCTCATCGTTTTGCGACTCAGGGAGGGATTTTTCGACGCCTCGCTGGATGGCTTCGATTAGGGATTCCCATTGCGATTGAGATTCTGGCGTGTAGCATGTGCGGTAGATGGTGTAGCCCCATTCGTGATAGGAGTACGGCTCCTCGGCTTGGCCGTCCGTTGTTATGATCAGGTCTCGTAGGATGTCTTTGGGTTGCTGGAGCATTGCGTTTGGACACGAGATAGTGTTGGTACGGAGGGTGCGGGGTTACATATGTGGTGCTTATGTTGGAAAAACAGTTAACTGGGAAATTGGCGGCATGCGCAAATTTATACTTGCCTGGGTATATTCGAAGGATCATTTAGGTTCAAGGCAACAACGGCACTAACTTCTTACGAGCTTGTTAGATGAAACTGTTTTGTTGACTGGACTTTGCTCTTGGAATAAGTCTTGTACATTGAATATCCACATATACATGAGACAGAACAAATGAAGAAGCCTTCGTAGATGCGAAGGCTTGTAAAGTATCGTCTCAGGTGTTGCAATCCTCCGTGGTCTCGATCAAGACCTCATGAGTCAGTAACCACCATCGCGACTACATTCTCCTACCGCCCGCGAGCGTTAACCTGCCCAGGTGTTCATTATGCCTACATCATGGAAGTAAGTAGAGGCTGTCATGCATACCGTGGCAAGTACCCACCTGCGAAATCACCCTTTTTCCTCAAAGCCTCCCTCACCTCATTCTCTCTGCGTATCCGCTCTTCCTTCTCCCTATTCTCCTTGCGTATCCGCTCTTCCTTCTCCTCTTTCTCCCTCTGCTTCCTCGCCTTCTTCTCGGCCTTCTTCTCTTCCTTGGCCACCTTTGCTTCCTTCTCCTTCATCATCTTCTGGAACCCATCATACCAACTAGCATTGCCACTATCTGATCTATGTATGCTGTCTTTGCCCAGCACACGATCAGTCTTATCTTGCTGCCTTTTACGGCCGCGGTCCCACACTTGCCACATGTAGGGATCGTTCTCTAGTCCTGGTGGTGGTGTAAGCTGGCGCGGCTGTAGATTCTTCCGGGGTCGGTTCGTGCGCTGAAAGTAGGCTTCTGGGGTTATCTCACAGCCAGGGAAGATAAGACTGGAGGTAGTAGAAAAGGTGGGTGATATGTTACGTGGTTCGGGTTGAAGGAAAGTTGAGGAATACTCTTGCAGGTGAATGTTCGGAACAGATTGTGTGGGGGTGGTGCGTTGATAAGGGCTAAAGGACCTCTCTGACCGAGCGGTGGTTTGTTGCTCATCTGGTGCGGTTGCATCTGTACTGGCCCCTTCATTCGCGCTTCGCTTTCCTTTCACCCAAGACAGGGGCCTGACAAACCCAAGTGGCAGATACTTTCCCAACGAGGGTTCTGAGTCACGGCGGATAACCTTCTTCTTGAGCTTCCGAGTCTCTTTCGAGTCTCGTGATGGAAGCACAGTGCTTGGTGCGATGGATTGAGATCGAGAGTTCTTTTGCGACCGGGCATGAAAAACGGGCGGACACCAGTATCCGGACATACCCATAAGCCCGACTGGGGTTTCTGAAGAAGGAGAGGTTGTAGAAGACATAGAGGATGATGAGGGTGCCTGACCTGCAGGCTGATGCGCAGCGCGTTGGGTAGAGTGACGTGGTACAAATGTATGCCAGTCGGGTTCATCTTCTTCAATAAAACGAGATGCGTTGTAAGTATGTATGTTCGTACTGGGGCTGCCAGCAGGCCATTCGTGAACGTCGATGACTGAGTCCTCGTAGTCTTCTAAACTCAGAGCGTGCGACAGGTAGGACTGTTTATCGGTGGCTTGCACTACCTGTCTGGGTTCATCAGTTGCATATTTTGGTCTTCCTGATATTTCTATATCAGAGGATCGCTTACGTTAGGGCTCTCCGGCTCCAACCCAGCCTCCTCATCAGCCCAACGCACCCAAGCTCTTTGTTCCGTCATCCGCGACATCATGCTTGCTGCATCGTTGACTTCCTCCTTCTCTTTGTTAGTGTAGAGTTCTTGTTCCGACTTGCTGGTCATCTCCCTCTGCCACATTTCCTCGAGAGTCAACCTGGGACTGTCCCCAACCATATCCCCATGTATCATCTGCGTCCTGCGTCGTATCGTTTTTATCGCCTTTCCGATCTCTTTCGTGGCATTTAGATAAACCGCATCATCGTGGAAATGCACGGAGACTTCCCAGCCCAGTTCCTTAAGACCCTTGAGTATACGTATTTCGGAGGGGACAGGGTCGTCAAGCACGTAGGTGAACAGCGGGTCGCAAGCTTCGATGGATTGCGCGGGTGGCTGGACTAGATATGGCATCTTCTACAAGCGTCGTGTGGCGTTGAGAAATTAGCAGATGTCATGAGGCTTTGTACGCTGTCGGGTGCATTCATCGTCGAGGTAACTGGCTACTGATGTCAATATTTTTCCCATACTTCACGCTCAGTATTTTCACAATCCAGATATGTCATTGCCAAAAACTCCGACCCTTGAATGTTCAACAGGGCGAAGACATGTTGGTATTGAATATGTCTATTGGGTATCATATGCTGTTATCGTCGGCGCAACACCATTCCATGGAACGTCGTTATCGTTGGCCGTTCAATCCTCTTATGCGATAGAGCCAGCTTCTAGACGCTCTGAAGCAAAGTTTTGAGGTACGGTATCCTGTAACGCGCGGTTCGCAGTCTCAGGACGTGATGCGCCGATTACGGCGAAGGCGTGAAGGTTGCAGAGTCACAGATTCGCTTTCCACATAGTTCCTATCACGGATGTGAGCAACCATCAAACGCGTGTATGCTCGTTGTATGAGTCGCGATGAAGTTTGTGTATTTGGTGTAGGGTGAGGAGTTGATGCTCAGGGAGGGCTCAAAACCATATCTTGATCAGCTCCTCTGACACGGCAGACGGAGTGAGAACGCCAGACTCGGTGATGATGCCGGAGATCAGGTCGGGTGGCTGGTTCAGGTTAGCGGATGGGGTCATAATTGAAGTAAGCAGAGCGTACCGTAAAGTCGACAGCGTCATGAGCGTCGAGCGGAACGACGGTCGATCTCTGCTTCGCAGTCATGTCTGCGATGGCTTCGTCAAAGACATTCCGTTGCTCTTCGTCGCTCTTGGGCTTGTGTTCCGCCTTGTGTTCTTCTGCGACCTTGAAGTCGAGTACCTTCTGCTCGATGGGCAGATCGAACTGGCTGAGTGGATATAGCCTAACGAACTTGTGGCTCTCGGCGACCACGTAGAAGGGCTTTCCTTTGCTCTTAGCCAGTACGCCCAACTGGTACGTGCCCATGCGCGATATGATGCCACCGTTCTCGACGACGCCTTCAGCTCCGACAATGACCATATCGACTTTACCCAGTGAGTAGGCGACGGCCGAATCTGGAATTGTGGCGACTGGTACATTGTGCTCTCGGAGGTCGGCGACAGTCTGGAGGCCCTCTTTCGCATCTGACGAGCTTGACGAGGGCAAGACGTATATGACCTTGAACCGGAGAGTGCTCGACTCGGCGGCCGTTCGCAGTAGCGCACCCACTACTCGCGATCCTCCATTTGTGAGCACCGTGCCGCCGTCACGGATGAAGTGCTTGCCGAAACTCGCGATCTTCTCCCTGCTCTGTTTCGCACGGTCCACGAACAGCTTGCCGTTGGAGAGCAGGTGGTTGCGTATCGCGCGGAAGTCGTCGTCGGGGCCGAGGTTCAGGCTCGCCGGGCGGTTGAGCGTCGTGATGAGGTAGCGCTGGAAGAGATCTGTGCCGGCGGAGAGGGAGATTGGGTTCGCGATGGAGGCCTTGAGGGCGGCCGTGTGGCGTTCGAGCAGGTCGAGTGTCTCTGCGACGGTCGAGACGGAGCTCTGCGCGATGGCTTCTACGAGCGCCTCGATGGCCGCGACGGGCATGGTGAGTTCCGGGTCATCTTTGAGGATGCGGCGGTATGTCGCTACAATGTCGAACGTCGACTGTGTCTTGACTCCTGATTCGGTGCTCATCTTGGCGGTTGGTTGCAGCGTGTCGTTCCCGTCAACTTTTTGGCCTGCAACATTTTGGAGGGGTGCTTCGCGATTGAGTCATTCGCCAAGATTGGGGGGCTAGCTCGTCATCCCTCCCCAGGCGTTCACCCTTCGACGCGCCAAATCACTCTTGCCATGACTTTACACTACTGCATGAGTCTCATTGTATTCATCTCATACCCTGCTGCTCTGGAATCTAGGAACTGCCAGACGACTGCTTTTACCCACTTCAACACCATGGCAAGGATCCATCCGCAATCGCCTTCACTGCTTTGGTATGAAGCGTTTGGTGTAATGCTCTGTTTGCAACGGAATCTGCAATAGTCGGATGCCACTCACCCGTAACGATGACCATGCCCGCTATGTTACGATACGTTGACCAAACTCACCCTCCGCTGTGACTGTACATTACTTGAAGAGCCAGACTCACTCAACGCCAACACATAGTTTCCGATCTTCGGTGTTCTCACTGATAATACTTTCACTTTAGCAAACAATTGATTACATTCGTCTACGGTTACCTTTTAGCAATCAAAAGGCCGCAAGGTATCTCACTGGCAAAGCTACACCTACTAACTACAACAACCAATACTGCTCCTAGGAAAGTTACGATGCCGTACATCATCTATGTGCCTGGAGTCCTGCAACCCTACATCACCAACGATCCGAGGATCTACATGGACTGTTCCAAGATCTTCGAGTGGGAATGCGAATCACGACCCTTCTGCGATGCATTCTGCAAGGCGTTCCGGCAAGACGAGGATGCGCAGTTCCTGTCCGAAAGGCGTCGCGGCCAACTTGAAGCCTACTGGATCGAGGAGCTCGAGCGGCGGATCAAGCTGAACAAAGGACTTGACCCACTGAAGGAGGGCAAACCACTGTCAACTGAAGCCGCAGTCGAACATCTGGCGGAGCATGACATCGATAAGAGTGTGTTGCCCGAGATCAAAGACCGGGAGGAAGGTGCACTCTGATAGCTGGTGGGTCTATATGGCAGTCACAGCCTTCATCACCGATTGCCATGTCTGGTACGTTCTCACCTTCTTGTTTTTGGGCCTTGCTAAATCGAGTAGTAAATAATCAACATCAAGCCTTTTGCGCTTGTGACCTAACACGCTTAACGACCACATTAAACTGTTTTTACATTCTTTAGTCTCAACGGAGGCGGTATCCATTTACAGTTCCCTTTTTATCACAAAACGCAACAGCGTACTGTTGCGCCAATCCGAAAATGCCCTCACTTTGCGACCCATCGGAGTATCTGTCCAGTCAGCAGATACCACCAAGGCCGTCTATCAACTTCATCCCCTACGACCCCATTTCCATTGAGATACCTATGGAGGCCTTCTACCGCGAGTACCGGGTAGATTCACCGGGAAGGATAGTGAAGTATCGCTATGTTACTACGCCATCTGCCGTGGCGTGCAGAATCACAGTCGTTTCGCTTTCTACCATCATAAACTGGCGGGCGGGTATCTCCGAACTGGCACCTCCGGGTGCTCTCTTCAACAAAACAGATGGTCTGTACTATCAAGACGAGGTCGTTCCGTCACAAGGCCAAACGCCACCCGACAACAAGCCATCATTCGAGTCATTTGTTCGACGAGTAAACTCACACGCTCCTACTACCGTACGGAATCCACTGACGGCTCATGACGAAGCTCAGTCCGCCCCCGACGGCAAGCCAACGTTCGAGTCATGTGTTCGACGACTGAAGTTACATTTTTCGACTGCTGTACAGCATCCGCCGATGTCTCATGCCGAAACTCAGTCCGCCCCCGGCTTCGTAGCAGGCCATGTCCAACGCACTGCGGAAGGTCCCTTGTCCGACGAGCAACTCCATCCGACTCCTTCAGGCAAGGAAGAAGGCTACAAAGCCGCCGAAAAAGGTCCCTCAAGTTATGCGCCGCAGTCGGCAGGAAGATCTCTCGACGAGGAAGTTATTGGACACAACTGGGTTAAGCCCGGGCCAGGAAGGAAGCGCGCGCATGGATCAACGACTACACCACCCGGTTTACGACGTGGCAGGAGTGCAGTCGGTGAAGGATCTCGCGAATGACCGGCCCAGGAAGCAACGTGCGTTGCATACAAATGATCTTGGGCGTGTGAGTTCATTGGAAAAAGAGGTTGCATAGGAGATGAAGCTGGGCGAGCAAGATGTCGACGGAGTGTGTTGTGATCAACACCTGGGCATGTCTTGCACATACGAATTCAAACGTCTACACACTGCATTTTCATGTCTGATGATTACCCAGCCCTTTTTGATGTAAAATGACGATGTGGTCGATGCGGCAATTGTTCACTATGTGCAGTAACCGTCCAATTCGTCTCTCAAACAGACGCTCAGCTAGATAGAACAGCAATCACTTAGCGTGGCTGCAGACAGACCAACAGACAGAATAGGCCTGTATAAGTGTTAGCGAATCATCGCGATACCTGATGCGGCTGTGTCTGGCGATGACGCACCTTGCACGGCACTCGCGGGTCTGCCCGTGGATCCACAGCGCTCAACGTCATATGCCTGCGCCAATGGAGCAGGAGTTTTCAGAAGACCCTGAGCCTGTCCGCAGCAAGCACGCGACCTCTTACCTAAACGAGCGTCACCAAAACAGGGCGCGAAGCCTGCGGCATAGGACATTTTCTCTTATAACCATATATGCAATCGTCGAAACAAGAACCGTTTTATCTAAACATCTTTCGCCAACGACTTCAACCGCAATTTGAGTGTCGCTCCCATCTCCAGTCAACCCATCATCAACAACATGGCCATACTATCAGACATCGCCTCAAAAGTAAAAAACACACGACTCGTTCCACCCACCGAAGACGAACTATCCGCGGCCAAAGAAACCAATCAAAATCTATCTCCCTCTCAAACCCAAAAAAGACAACGACCAATCCTCGAGATAACTTCCTACGACCGCTTCACACCACCATCTCCTAAACCAGACTTAGAATACGACTGCCGCGTAACAGAGAACCCATCCCGCCAAATACGAAAGACATGCACGGGGCTCGACTCGACGCTACAAGACGAGCTCATGCAGCGCGAGTCTTTCAGTGACACAGTGGCCCGCGCCGAGGAGGATATCAAACGGCTCATGGAAATCAAGGATGTAAGAGCTAGTAGGGAAGAGGAAGTAGCGATAGTACGAGTGGGGTGTCTATGTGGGAGCGGACATCACAGAAGCGTGGCTTTTGCGGAGCAATTGGGCAAAGTGAAGTGGAGTGAGGATGATAGTTGGGAGGTTAGAGTTGTGCATAGGGATTTGACGAAGGGAGTGGAGGAGATGAAGAGGGTGAGGGGGGAGGAGAGTGGGAAGGAGGAGAGAGATAGGAGGGCGGATGGGGAGAAAGCTGGGGGGTGAGGTGTTGAGACGGGGGTGGATGGAAGGGGTATTGCGATATAACATTATCACGGCGTTGCCTATCACCCAGCATTCTTGGGCAAAGCTCAGCCCCGAGATAACCAAGCATGCCTCGGAAGCACTACCGCAGTCATCCCATCAGTCTCTCCACCCGTAGTCGCCTTCGCATCAGCACCGTCAGCACCACCGCCTCTCAGCTCTCCCGACAGACGTTCCTTGTCCTCATCTTCATCATCTTCTCCTATAACCTCATGAACATCCGAAAAAGGATCAAGCAGCCCCGGCATCTCCCTCATCTGCTCTTCAGCCCACTTCCTCATCCTCTTCTCCTCCCTAGGACCGTGCTCAATCCTCAGCCTCAGCTCATCACTTCCAACCCACGTATCCTTACCCCAAACCCGCCAGTGCGCTTTCTTCGCGCTGTTCAAAACAGATTCCAGCCTACTTTTCTCAGCAACCGCCTCCGCCTCAGCCTTCTTCTTCTCATCCTCCCCGTTAATCCTCAGCCCAGTTTCCCTCTGCCAAATGACCCAAATATCGTCGTCCCACGTATTCTTCCTAGCAAGTTTTTCATATTTGGCAAACCACTTCTCCATCTTGGGCAGCGAGCGGTCGGTGTTGTAGAGGCGCCAGCCCCATGCCGCACAGTCTTTTGCAATGGCGGCGTTGCGCGTTGTGAGGGTAGCTGAGGAGGCGGGGGTGAGGAGGATGTATTGGGCTGTTGTGGTGGGGTGGCGGTTGTAGTGGAGGACGTAGGAGGTGGAGCGGTAGTAGGGTGGGATTTTGAGGATGAGGACCATGGTTGCTGTTGTTCGTTGGGTTTTGCTTTGGTAGCGGAGTATGGATAGAGGGGAGTTAGATGGGGACTGAGGTTTAAAGTGCTACGGTGGTCAACGAGAGGTAGAGGAAATTGTTACTCTTCACCGATTGAATGCCCAAATCGTGAAAGCTCTCTCTCATTACGCACTCGGAGCATTCACGCACTTATATGTGACCTTTTGCGTCTTTCCAATACCATCGGGCGCAGATCAACTATACGAGTGAAAGTACACTGTGCATTGAAGTCACCAACCCCGAACGTGAACGCACAGAGACTGCATGGAATCTCTAACACGTACTCGCGTTTTCCCACCCACTTGCACAAGTCTCACTCTTCGGCAACCTCATACATCCAGCCAAAATGAATAACCGCCATTCACACAAAATACAATACCTCATCCACCCACCCCGAAGAACCGTCGTCTTCACCACAGACAACCCTTTGATAGCAGACGTCCTAAGGAAGCGTCACAATTGGCTTGGCCGCGTCACAGAAGGTAGCACGCTTCCAGCGTGTATCAGCACTTCATGTATACGGGAGCTTGATGATGGTAACGTTCTGATCGATCATGAGGTTGCAAATGGTGATCTCCTTGCAGCAGATATACGGTCTCTGCTCGTACGCAAAGGGTTTGTGGAACCGGATTTACGCTTTGTTGGGCGTATGATACGGTCTCAGTCTAAGAGAGAGGTTGTGCCTCCGAAATGCACGGATATAGCGGCTGGTGATGAAGACGAGGTTGATATCTGGAGCGACGATGGGTTGGATGAGGCCAAGGAGGATATAGGTGTTCAGGAAAAAGATATTGTGGACGTGGATAGAGGAGAGAAAGATTCTTAGGAGAAAGGTGGTTTAGACGAGCCTGCCACAGCGGAATCTTGATGCAGAGGGGTCAGGTGACTACATAGTGCTCTTGATCTGCTGAAATGGAATGTATTGTATATTTTAGGCTTTCAAATGAAACGAGTGCCGGGAGGAGACAAGGATCTGGGTATCGCTGAAACAAAGGAACAGAAGATGATGTAGCTGGCAGGCCTATATAGACCAGCCGGCTTTCTTCTTAGCGGCCTTGGTGGTCATGGTGGGTTCCGAGGGTGGCGGCGGCTTGATATCCTTGAGATCTGGTAGCGGGTCGTTGTCCCTTATCTCCAGTATAGTCATCTGTGCAGCTAATGTCGACTGTCCATCTGCAATCGTGTCGCTAGGAGCAGACACATCGTCGCCTACCGGACCACCTTCAAGAGAAACGCCACCGTCTTCTTCATCTTCAACTTCGTCATCATCGCCTGCCTCGTCACCCTCATCGTCGTCGTCAGCCTCTGCGCCGGCGGCGACATCTCCAGCGTCGCCATCGATACCATGCTCTTTCATGTACAATTCTAGTTCCTTGGCCATCTTTTTGCTGAAGCCGGAAGCTTGAACTTCAACATCTAACCGCTTGACGAGCTTCTTTGTGGCATCCTTGAAAAAAGGACCCGGCTCGTCGCTCGTGAAGCCAAAACGGCGATCGAAGAAGCGCTTTATGCAAGCCACATCGCGGTCAAAGTAGTATTCGGCATTGGCATGATCGATGGAGACCATTTGCGGGAAATCGATGAGGGTTGGCACCAGTGACAAACTGCCGTCTTTTTCTGTTCTCTCTTCAACTAGAATGTTGAACTCGTTGAAGTCACCATGAATGAGACCGTGCTGCGCGAGGCGAACGATAATGGCGAGCAGCTCCCCGTAGAGCTCCTGTGGGTTACCGACCTTTGAGATTTGACGCATAGGGAAGGCATCGATGAGGCTCATGACGACGGTGTGTCTGTTCTGACCAATGGGCTCGGGTACAGGGAATCCCTCTGCTCGTAGGGCCTTCATGAATTCGAACTCTTTCAGAGCAGCGAGGCGCGACATGTACATCCATGAACCACCCTGGCGATTCCGCAGGTAGTCGCGGTTCGCCTTGACGGTACGGAAAGAAATGCGACCCAGACGGTGGATTTTGAGCACCAGTTGCCTGCCCGTCTCATCTGCGCAGACTATGATATCCGACTCTTTGCCTATGCCGATCTGGTTGCCGACTGAGTAGACGGTCGAGGCCTTTTGGTGTGTGTGGAGGGCGAGGTAGTCGAGACCGCCATACGTGAGTCGGTAGCCGTCGTACTTTGCGTTGCGGACTTTGGCGATGAGGCCGATCTTGGCGAGGTTGGAGATGCAACGGTGGACGCCGTCGCCTGAGCGGATGGCGGCGATCTGAGCAATCAGGGGGGTTGGCACGATTTCATGGTTGCGGCTGCCCATCTCTGTCTATCATCTTCATCAGCGTTAGTCCCCCACTACGTTCGGAAAGCCTGCGGGCGGGCGCATACCGCAGTGAGAACACGCCAATCATCGGCGGACAGGTACCGAATATTCTTGACGTTGAGCTTCATGGTAGTTGCCTGGGTGGCCTATCGGCGTCGTGTGGTGGTGGTTTTCGGGGTTGTATGCGGCAACAATATTTTTTGGCGGGAGGTTCTGAGGGAGCGGGCGCTCATCATCGGCGGACGGGGCTTGGCCCTAGCGCGGCGGAAGTGGTACGCGAAGCAAGAGCTGCCTCATCGACATCAACCTATTACCACTCCCCACTCGACTTGCCTCTCGCTCTTCCGACCCATTTGAGCGCCGCATCTACATCTCCCAGCACCCCGAATCTCCTTCCACCGTCGCTATCGACGCCGCTTCATCCCGACACATAGACACACTTCGCCGCTTGCCCTAGCTACACATCATCAACATGGCGAAGGACGACGAGAAGAAGCCCACGGCCGCCGACAAGGGCAAGGGCAAGGCGCCCGTGAGCAATGACGCGGACAAGAGCAAGGACGCAAAGCCAGATCTTGAGGACAA